GCCAGTTCAAGGAGTGCATTGTCTGTCAAGTACAGATCGGAGAATTCGAAAGTCGATGCGCTAGCTCGATTAGCCTCGGCATACAAGATCAAGCTCCCTCGCTCGGTACCCATGAGATGCTCAGTGAGCCATCCATCGAACGTGCCGAACTGATGGACGTTGAGCCACCTACTCTCACGTGGATGGACCCTATCAAGCTACCTGAGTCGAAAAGTCCCCGAGCACCGAGCTGAGGCATGGAAGTTGGGCCGAAAGGCCGCACTACGTTATCCAGTAAGGAAAACTCTATGGCTTCTCCCTTCCTCTCCTCAGGTGTCTTGACCCAGATGAAGCTGATTACATTATGAGGGAAGTCTTCGACCCAGTAAGGAAATCACTCCAGTGCTCGGTCCATGGCATTCAAAATAATCAAGCAAGGCTACTATTCACCGAGTTTAAACCGTAACGCGAAACAATTTGTCAAGAATTGTGACAAGTGCCAACGCTTCGCCACTATACCGCACCAACCTCCAGAGCTGTTCACACCAATATCGAGCCCATGGTCTTTAACTCAGTGGGTCTGGACCTCATCGGACCTCTCCTTACTGGAAAGGGTCAGGTGAACCATGTAGTCGTAGCTACAGATTACTTCCAAGTGGGTCAAGGCAGAGCCCCTGGCAAAGATAACCGAGCAAAATATCACGAGTTTCGTCTGGAAAAGTTTTGTCTGTCGGATCGGCATACCGTATGCTCTGATTACTGACAATGGCAAACAATTCGACAACGCTCGTTTCAATAAATTTTGCGACGACCTCAGCATTAGGCACTTCAGCTTGTCCCCTGTTCATCCCCAAGCCAACGGGCAAGTTGAAGCTATAAACAAAATCATAAAGCGAGGGTTGAAGACGAAGCTAGAGGCGCTAAAGAGGCGCTGGGCCGAAGAGCTTCCAGAGGTCCTTTGGTCGTACCAAACTACGGCCCGAGGATCAACTAGAGAGAGCCTATTCAGCCTCGCATTCGGCTCGAAAGCCGTTGTACCAGTAGAAATTGGCCTACCGACGTTAAGGGTTGAGAATTTTGACCAAATGGAAAACGATGAGGCGCTCTTGCTCAACCTGGATCTCTTAGAGGAAAAATGCACTCAGGCGCAGCTCGCCGATCAGAGTACCAAAACCGGATGGCTCGGTACTACAATGCAAAAGTCAAGCCGCGCTCGTTCAAGTCAGGAGACCTCGTCCTAAAAAAGGTTCTAACGCACGTGGACGCACTAGGGCCGAACTGGGCAGACTCATACAGAGTTCGTGAGATAGTTTGGCCTGACACGTATATCATTGCCGACCTGAACAGCAACAAGTTACCTCACCCATGGAACGCTCAGCATCTACGTATTTATCATCAATAAATGTAAAACAATCTAAGTGTAACTAGGTTGTATGCGTTATCAATAAAAGCTAACCTGTTTTGATCTAAGTCTACCTCGTCTAAAAAAAAAGAGGCTGAGCTAGATCTTAAATTAGTAGGGGAAGCGAAGTTACTCGCTTCGCTAAGCGACTTAAGTCATGCTTCCCCCATTCATTAGCAGCGTCATAAAAATGTGTATACATGTAAATATTTCCACGCGCTAAGGATTCGAACAGGTCGGTTAAAGCAAAGAGATGAACAAAAAGAAGTAACATTAGTTTCATTAAAGTTTACAAGGAGATGAGGCTGAGGAATGTGTACCTCAACCATTACAAAACTTAGCTGAAGCAGTATTGCTCTGACTCGACAAAAGCAGAAACAAAAAAGGTCAAAGGAGATGGCAGCGGTTGAGGCACTTCATGCTTCAGGGGTTCAGGTCAGTCTGGCCAAATACTGGGGCAGCCACTTGGACGTCTTCGTCATCCTCAGCCTCCAGCTCGGCCTAATACTCCTGGTACACGGAGGTGAGGTGTAGCTCGGACGCCAGCTTCCTCACGGCATCAATGGCGAAATCGAAGCCCTTGTTAGCCAACGCCTTCACCACCTCATTAAACTCCAGCATCACTTTGATCGCATTTTCCAAGTCTGTGTAGGTCGACCATTTCTTTTGGTGCTCAGCTTCCTTCGCCACTAGATCCGTCTCGGCCTTCATTCGAAAATCCGTTGGGATTTTGGCTCGAGCCTCAGCATCTTTCACGTCCAAAGGAGCTCGACTCAGGTGATTCTCTAGCGCAGTACGCTCCTTTTCTTCCACTATCTTCTCCGCCTTTAACTTATCCACCTTAGTCGCCAACGCCTCTATAGTCTTAGTGGCTTCACGCTCCCGAGAAAGGTTGATCTTCCTAGCGGTGAGCTTTTTGCTTATTAAAGAGCTCGTGCAGTAGGCTGTGAAATGGAGGTCGGCCAGCTGGTCTATCAGAGCCTGCACGTAATCAGCAGGCTTGTCCAGAAAGGTTCCCTCGCTCC